TTGACATAGCACCGAGTAAAAGAACAAGAAAACAATAATAATGTTGAGTTTCTAATGTGAAATTTCGCTGTATGTTAAAAAGGTTTTGGCACACAGATCCTTCAAACCTTGAATCATTGGCTTTTCTAAAATCCAATATCATTCACTTTGGAATTCTGCTCCTAAGGCTCTTTTGCATAAGATCTGCTCCACGGGATGACAAAATTTTTGTAGATTGGGTTAGTCGACAATTTTTTTTTTTTTTTTAATTATAGTTCTCATTTCTATTCTGTAATTAAAAGTTTGTTCTCAAAATACTTACTGTTATCGCTGGATCGACCATTGTTGCTACAAAGAGCATTCCATAAGTTGCTGGACGAAGACATGGAAGACTTGGATGTGTATGGAATATTTAGGCTGATGTGTGTTGCAGCTCAGTGCATAAATACTAAGCCTATTTCATGATGTAGTATGAGCGAGGTGATGCAGCATAGATAAAAAAAATATTTGGTACTATTTAGGGCTACAAATGAGTTGAATGGTTCATTAGCAATTCAAACTCGGCTCGTTTTAGATCAGCTCATTGCAAAATATACAAGCTTAAGCTAAAATTTTAAACTCATTTATTTAGTAATCGAGTCAAGCTTGACTAGGCTTGAATACCCTAAAACTCAACTCGTTTGTAGCTCTACTACTCCTGCTAGCCTTTTCTAGTTTCATTATGGCTTACTATATCAGTTTCATGCACTTGCAGATAATTTCAGTTCTCAAGGGAGAAACTTCATGAGCTATGCAATTATCCCCTTCATCAGAAGGCAGCCCAAATATGGACTTTAGTGGCTCATCAATTGGTAAACTTGTGTGCAATTTAACCTCAAAGTTGTCACTTTCAAAATAGCTTAGGTGGTACCCAAAAAAAATGTGCAGAAAAAAAATTTAAAATAAGGAAATGTAGATGTATAGAAGAAGGGAATACCTTTGGGATCTCTCCTAATTCTTTTTTTTAATTGGCTAGCCAGATATTTGCTTTCTTTGAAACAGTACTGGTTAGACAATTTTCTATGGCAATAAACTACTATGTTTGTTGTCATGTCAGGAAAATCTTCATATCATCATCTTGTTCTCCTATTCTTCTTCGTCATGAATATATATAAATACCAGTTGTGCTTCATATTCAGAAAAATTACTCAAATTTTAAATATTTGAAAACAATTTATTTTATATATGATTCACAATACGCTAACTTTAAATCTACACTCTATACTTCACTTTTATATTGAAATTATGATTGAGTTTTCATGCTACCTAGAATTATTGCATGAGCACTGCACATGAAAGATGAAGTCTGGCTTGACTTGGTATACTATTACAATTTTAAATTAGCTTTTTGTGTTCTATGTGTATGTGTTATGATGGAACCAGAAATTAATAAACAATAAACAACCAAACGAAAATGGGAGCATTCAAAGGATCTGTGTGGTTAATCTTAAAATCTTGAAATAACCCAATATACTTAAGATTCGAACATTATCGAACTTGGTTAAAATATATCCAAATACAAATACAGAGTCAGATTTATGTTTTGTCACATCATGCAAGTTGACGACGAGTTATAAGCCCAATAAGAGCATCTTCAACTGATACCTCAAATCCTACTTGACACTTTAAAAGGCAAAAATTGAGACTTCAACAAGCTCCAACCGAATAGCCAAATGTTTCGTGAATCTGACATGGCTAAAGTACAAATATAATAAAACAATAAAATTAGTATATTGTGTGGAGTGTTTCTTTTTAGAGATGTCAAATTTGCATATGTCAATTTACCATCAAAAAAAAAAAAAAAATTGCCATATCAATTTTTGAAGATTTAGGAGGAGATGCCCTAAAGGATTGAATTGGAAACAGTGGAAACATAATGAAGGAAATTATTTTCACATTCGTTATATTGTATCCTTACTTAGCTCATTTTATGCTATATATAGGCCATTTTAAGTTGCAAATTCTATCTAAAAATGATATGGATACAATGGCTTGCACATTTAAGCACTCCATTAAATTAAAGCCAATTTTGACCCTGTTATGGATACAATGGTTTGACACATTTAGATTGTGTTTGAATTAAAAATTTGAGTTCAAATATGTGAAGAAAAAAATAAAAATAAGAAGAAAAGTTAATGAAATAGTAGTTAACATTTCTATTCCCCTATATTCAAATATCTTGATCCAAACACAATCTTAGAGCACTCCAAATTTAAATCAATCTTGGACCCTGTTATTTCTCTTTTAACAAGTGCATACAAATCAAATGCAGAGAGAGCGTAGTGATTTTGAGAACCACGTCCATGACTGGATAGAAACAATGGAAACCTCCTAACAATGGTTGCAAATAGGCATGTATTGAATTGTTCTGTTTCAATCTTAAACCCCAATAAAGGTTAGTGCTCTTAACAATCCAAAACACTAATATCAGTAAGAAGTACACAAGAATAATAAACTACATGCATATATAAAATTTTAAAAAAAAAAGAAAAACACGCACACGCACACAAAATTTATGTAATTTAATAAAAATTTATGATAAAAAAATATTACAAGAGATACAGTAGAGATAGTCATCTCCCCTAAAGACAATTAACTGATAATGACAGAAATACAAAAAATACGATCACAACCAAAGTTTGATATATATGTGTTTCCAGTGCCGGCATTGGGCTAAGGCCACTGATTAGGCCCCAAAAATTTGGCCCAAAATAGGGACCCCAAATTTAGTAATGTATTATAGTATATTATAAATTTAAATTTGCCCAAATTATTTTTGTTATTTTAGGGCCAATTCAAAAAGCCCAAAAATATTTTGTTGGATCATATTTATTTGTAAGTGTGATTTGGCCCAATTAAAATTAAAATATCTACAGAAAGTGTTGATGGTCCAGGGAGAAGAATAATACATACAAGCTCTCAATCTCTCTCTCTCACAAAGTAATGAAGGAAAGGAAGCATAACAACCATAAGTAGAGCAATGAGCAACGGTAGAAATTGATTGAAAATTGATTGAAAATAATAAATTAAAAATTATGGCCTTATAAATTAAAATTTTTTAGTGTTGTTAAATTATAAATTATAGATTACAAATTTAGAATTATATATTAAATAAAAATTATAACTTATAAGGATGAAATAGTCTTTTGAACATTTATCCTTATCTAGTCTGTCCAATCAAATATTAGATTCACTAAAAATAGTCTAATGCAGACATCTAATCTCATGATTAAACATAGGATACAAATCCAGTCAAACTAAATAGTCACAGGACAATGTATTCCAGGACTAACAGTCCGATGGATTATAATCCCCCTTATCCAGTCTGTCCAAACAAACACACCCTTAGAGTTATGTTAGAACCCCAAATATTCTACCAAAACTCTCACGGATGTGGGACCCACACACATGTGGATTTGTGTGAGTCCTACCCATGTGAGAAGTTTGGTAAAATATTTGATAAAATATTTGGGATACATATATTTCTCATTTAGAGTTATGTTAGGAATCCTAAATATTCTACCAAACCTCTCACTTGGTGGGGTTAATTACTCGTACTTAATGCATTATTTGTTAACAAAACCCTAAATATATATATATATATATATATTACAAAAAAAAATTATATTTTTATTGATATATCCTCATCTAATTAGTTTACTACGATATAATTGATTTTATATTGATCGGGGAAAGTAAAAGAAAGTACTGAAAACTTGAGTTGGATTTTATTAATTTATTTTATTGGCTATGTTATTGAATTGAATTTTATTTAATTAGTATTGATTGTATTAAAGTTTACGTTGAATTTTATTATACTATTTTTAGTTGTTGGTTTGTATTAATAATATTTTATAATTTTATTTGTATTATGTTTAAATGTTATTAGATATTTCTTTATTTTAAATTATTTATTATTGATTAATTTACTTATTTTTAGTACAGTAAAATTGTAGTTTCAACTCAAACCAATCCAAACTATGTTGGCTTGAGTTGATTTGATTTGGTATTAGAATCAAATTTTGAAGGGTTTATTAAATTTCTATTTCTAAGCCATCGTCAAATTATCTATTTAGTCAATAAACTATAGATTGAGTATACTAAATTCCTAAAATATAAATTAAAATTATTTAATCTTTAAACTATTTATTGAATTTATTAAGTTCCTAAAATATTTAATTAAGACATATTTAATCCCTGAAAATATTATAAATTAGTAAAAGACTTTACTTAATTAAGATTTTATTTAAAAAATATGATAATTTTATTTTGTCAGTGTTTTATTTCATTGTGTGCTTAAATTAATATTAGAGTATGGTTACTCAACCTTAGTATCTTGCCAATAAAATTATATGAGTATTAGTAGGTGACTCGTGCGATGCATGGGAATTTAGTGGTGTGTATTGAGCAGATTTATATTTATCAAATTATTAAAAGTGTGCCTTAAGTAATGGTATGCCTTGAAATGAAATGTGATGTATAAATAGAAGCACCTGGATCTTATGGGTTGAAAACTTTAGAACAAGACTTATAGTAGCATGAGTCTCGCAAATGGTAAACATGTTTTTTTTTTTTTGAAATATTTTATTATTATTTTATTCGAACCATAAACACATATTTTAAAAGTGTATTTTTGAAATCCGCTGTACAATAAGGATATGTTTGATTGGATGGATTAAAATATGAGATTGAGATTATTAATTTGTGGGCCCAATTATCTTATGTTTGTTTTAACATTTTGATTTAGGGTTATTAATTCAATGGATAATTAATCTAACAAATTTATAAGATTATTAGTAATGGAGTAGGGGTGAGATCATAAATCTAATGAATAATTTATCCTATTAATCTAATTAGATAATGAATACTACACCAATTTAATAAAATTATTAATACATTATTATTAGTCTTATGAATGAATCATGGCCTATATGCTTTAAAGTAAAAAAAAAATTAGCCTAATTGAGGAATAAAGTGCTGGAAATGCCCTAGTCAGGGAAATGAGGCAGCTAAGCGACAAGTAAAACATTGTAATCAGATCATGGTTATCCAATTCTATTCTGTTTGAAATCAGATTTTGTGGATTCGTAGTCGGGTAATCGGATGTGGATTTAAATTAATAGATCGGATTACTCGGGTCAGATACAGACATACCTATTTATTTGTTTTTTAGATCTCTCTCTGCATATTCCCTCCCTAGTTGAAATCCCTTCCCCCTCTGCATCTTTTTGATAATATATCTCTTTCTTGTTGGTTGCTTGAAGATCAATGGATCCGGAAATAGATTTTCGGACTTATCTATCATCATCGTCTGATACATCTGATGATGATGATGATAATGAGGTATTTAGTCTTTCTAAATTGTTTGGGTATGACGAAGAACTAAAACGTATTCCTCTAGTTGCACCACGGTGTGATACACATGATGGTGATGATTATGATGATTATGATTATGATTACGATGATGACCATGATATGACTGAGGATGAATACCGGGTCTACAAGGATCAAGTTTTGAAGAGCGACGTAAGTAAAAATTTACATTTACATCCCTATCCCAATCCCTATGGCCTTTGCATCACTAGTTCTTTTGCTTATGTTTTATTTATTTTTTTGCTGGTTCTTTCGTTGCTTTAGGGGTTTGATGTAGTGAACATACCTGGTGTCAATGAGTTCCATCAAATTCTTCCAATGGACATTACCCACAATGCTGAAGAATACGAATGGTATTCGCAGCTTGCAGTTGATGAATACAACCGTCGCATCAAGGTTTTTGTTCATGTTTTTGCTGAAACGGGCATTTAATTGATGATTGTATTTTATTTCAAGTTATAAATATAATAGTACTTAGGTTATTCATGACAACATTTGTAGGACACAAATAAAGAGTTGGAGTTTGTGAAGGTTTTGAAGGCAATGTCTCAGGCTGCCTGTGTACTCAGGTTTTATATGACCTTCAGCGCCAAGGATCTTGCTGATGGAGGCAATATTAAGACATATCAAGCTGTGGTGCTAATGGGGGTAGGTGCTGAGATGTCAGTGTTATCTTTTAGGCTCAAACCTCCTGAGGATGAACAAGGTAAGGCAGATGCATTTTCTTCTTTGCAATTTCCATCACCCTTAAATGTCTGAGATAACAAATAACTGATTAGAAAGTGTATATGCTTAGCAATTATAAATATGAGGGTGATTGTTGAATCTTTGTTTTTCTTTAGCACAATATTGGCTGCTATTTCATTTATTTGTTTAGATGTTAGAGAGTTTAGTATTTGAAGCTCCATTTGTTTTGGCAAAATACTTTCTTCTACATTTTATGACGCCTGTTTCAACAGAAAACGAAATTCAACAAAAATATTTCCGTGCTCAATGGAAAACAAGTTTATTTGGGCAAAAAATATTTTCAGTTTTTTAAATGTGGAAAACATTTTTTGAACTTGTATCTTACCAACCCCACTACCATTGTCACTATCCCTACCAACCATAGTTCTAAATCGCGGTATCGGGTAACGTAACGGTATCGATCGCGGAGTATCGGTATCGGTAGTATCGGCCGATACGTATCGGGAATCGGGTGTCACGGCCGTGAAATTTTAAAAATCATTAACAATCCTTCTGAAACTCAATTTTGTACATTTTTTTTACTCTTTTAACCTTAATGTCACATTTTAATCAAAATTTTGATATATAAGGACACTTTTAACTCATTTTTAACTAAATGATATATATTTATTTTAGTCTCAATTATAACTTACAATTATCTACGATTTAAAATAAATCCACAATAGTATACCAACTAGACAGTATACCAAAGTTGCAAATTTGGCCCAAAACTCAATTTTATCATTTTTGCAAATTTGGCCCACAACAGTATACCAACTAGACAGTACACTTGACAGATTCACTCAGCTCCTTTAGGTTAGGTTGACCCCCATTGAAAATACAATTATTCCTTATCTTCCAAATATACCAGAACATAGCCATTGGTACTAAATTCCAAATGTTCATAATAATCTTTTTACCTTTAAAACCCATCCACCAATGGAGCAAATCTACTACTGTAGCAGGTAATACCCATTTCACATCCCACCAATTTAACAATTCAGTCCAAGACTCCCAAATGCCCCTGCACATCAGAAATATATGGTTCAAAGATTCAGGTTCAGCTTTGCAAAAGGGGCAAACATTACTTACAATCTACATTTTATGACGTCTGATACGACAGAAAACGAAATTCAACAAAAATATTTCCATGCTCAATGGAAAATATTTTCAGTTTTTTAAATGTGGAAAACATTTTTTGAGCTTGTATCTTACCAACCCCACTACCATTGTCACTACCCCTACCAACCACTATGCTACCACTGCCACTGTCTCCTTAGCAGATCACTGGTTCTTCCTCCCCTGCCACAAGAAGCTCGCATGGTTGCTCGACGCCTATGCATATGGCGGCTCCTTAATTGTTATCCTGAAGTACTCATCAACTATCTTTCAAAACAAAACAAAATAAAATCAAAGACGAACGGTAACCCAACTTCAAATGATGAAGTTAACTAAATCATTTGTTCATCTTTCCTTCTTCTAATAGAAGAGTGGACTAAAACACACACTCCATAGTAATGAGTTACCCTTTGCTTGCCGATAAGAAACTCCACATTCCCATCAAAGATTTGAACCCATCTTATATCTTTAACTAAACTATAATTTGTCTTGCCAAGTTCAAATCTCTCTCATTTGAAAACAATTTCAACCTTTAAGAGTTCATGTGACAAAGCAGTTTTAACTCAATACTCTACTAAGTACTACCACTGCCACCGCCGCCGCCACCACCACATCACTACTACCATCGTCGCCATCACTGTGTCTGCACTCACTGCCTTTGCTGCTGCCACCACCACACCAAACATTACTACTTCCACAACAACTAGCACATTATTTTAAGTGTCGCAACCAAACAAAACATTTGTTTTACATAATATATTTTTTAGGAAATATTTTCCACAAACTTTTTTCTCTGGAAAATATTTTTCTTAAAAAAAAAAATTGGAGTGTAAGTGAATGTTTATAGATATTTATCTGATTTTGAGTTTTATTTCTTCTTCTTTCAAGAAGGTTCAGACAGTCATGGGAAAGAATGGTTCTGGGAAGAAGATGACCTTTGTGATGGTTAGTATGTTTCATGACATGAAAGCTTGATTTGAATTATTGAACTGATAATAATGTTTTGTTTTGTTTTATTTTATTTTGGGAGCTAAACTAATTATATCATATTTTGATTATTACTTGCTCTATACTGTTAGTTTAGTGATGTACGATAATCAAATCAATTGTTGATAATACATTTGAGGATACCTTTTACAAACATACTTGATGATGTGTGTTGGAGCATGAATGAAATCAATAGTCAATGAAACATAGTTTCAAGAGCAAAAAAATAAGAACAAAGCTTTAGATCTGAAAGAAAATTAAATGGTAGGGAGGGACTTGGTTATTTAATTTTCATTTGGTCAATCGATAGGAGAATAATTACAAATATGAGAAATATATACATCATCAAACAGTATTAGCCCATAATTGCTAGAAAGTCAACAAAGCCTTGCACAACTAACAAACCAAGCCCAAGCCGAAGACCAACAATCACAACCGCCATAATGGGGAAGAAATAAACCACCACTACAAAGGTATCAAACTCCTCTTTATAGGAGTTGAACCAGAGACCTCACACCACAGAGTGAGGCCAAATGCCCTGGTTGAGGATCATTCAATTAAGTGCACAGGTTTTTAAGGGGATCACTCAATTAAGTGCACAAGTCTTTAGTCCTTTTGGCTGTCATTTATATTGCTTGTTGTCTCAGTTGAGGTCCTTTACTGCATGTCAAAGGCAAGCTCCTTAAAAACATTGCCTTGCATTATTAGGCTTAAGGCACTACATGGTGCCTTGCCTCACCTGTATGCCTTAAAACCAGTTTATTTGTATGTGTGCCTGGAGGTGTTCTGATTCTTGCAATAACTCATGCCCTCCTCTCTCTCTGGTCAAAACTTGTCTTCTTTGTTTCAGGCTTCGCTAAATTAGAAGGAGCCAAATTTGGGTTTTGAGCATTCCGATACTGTTGTAAATAAATGGTAAAATTGTTTTTGATTATTAAGTTATACACCCAGTGGGTGTTAAACTCATAACTTTACCTATATCTTTGATGGGAGGAGATGCTATTTGAGATAAGACACTTGGTTACGGCAATAAATAACTAAATAATTAGATAGTGACTGAAAATTTAATTTGTACAATGTTTATGAGAAAAATAATGTTTCTTACGATAATTGAAGATTTTGATTTGTGTCGACCTTGGCTTGCAAAGAGGACCCAACTAGCTCTAGATGTAAGAGGCTATTATAGACCTTAGCCCATTGTTGCCAACACCTAGCTTCAACTAGAAAATAGATTTTGATACTCCCCCATGGTTGGCACTAGTGCTCTTCGCCACCTCTGAGTTGCCTTTGCTTTGCCTCATATTCATTAGAAGGCCTAGTTCAACACGATGGATTCAATTGGAATTGCAATTTTTTGCATCAACCTTGGTACTTTAAATCTCTGTTTATTTTGAATATGGAATTGCTAGAAATGGAGTTATGCAGTCATTAATGTGAAGATAACAATTAGACTTAAGTTGGAAACCAATTAATGCTTCAGTCATCACATTAGTGGGACCAGCGACTGCATCAAATTGAGATTCAAAATGTCCACTGTAGCTTCAAATTTTCTTCACTATCCAATGTTTATTTTGAATATGGAATTGCTAGAAATGGAGTTATGCAGTCATTAATGTGGAGATAACAATTAGACTTAAGTTGGAAACCAATTAATGCTTCAGTCATCACATTAGTGGGATCAGCCACTGCATCAAATTGAGATTCAAAATGTCCACCGTAGCTTTAAATTTTCTTCACTATCCAACACATTTCCTAATCTTTGAGAGAAAAGTTGTTTGTTGTTTATTTTGAATATGGAATTGCTAGAAATGGAGTTATGCAGTCATTAATGTGGAGATAACAATTAGACTTAAGTTGGAAACCAATTAATGCTTCAGTCATCACATTAGTGGGATCAGCCACTGCATCAAATTGAGATTCAAAATGTCCACGTAGCTTCAAATTTTCTTCACTATCCAACACATTTCCTAATCTTGAGAGAAAAGTTGTTTGTTGGATAAACTTGATTTGTTGAGATTGGTTGGTCATCCGTGGGAGGAGGGAAAAGGATACGGTGGGCTTGGGGAAATAGGGGAGATCAATTTGGGTCTCAAGCCCTGCAGTCTGCAGCACACAAGTATTTAAGTGTCTCTCTCTCTCTCTCTCAATTCTTGTTTTATCTTTTCCTCGCCTTTTAGTGCATGATGAAATAGGTAAATAGATTATGATGCAAGCATATTCCCTGTCAAGGTTTGAGTCTAGAATTTAAAATGTGGTGATAATGTGCAAGATAAATTGGAACTCGATTAATTTATGAGAATTGAGTAGTGTTTTGCCAAGTAATAGTTGATGAATGAGATTTTTCACTGCATAAATATTAAATTTGTTTATTGTTGATTGATTACTTGTGATATGTTGAACACGAAAATAATCACTGTTGTATATGAATGGCTGGAAAATATTTGTTATTTGTGTCAGCTCAATAATTTATATATACATACAAATGTATCTATGTATGTATAGCTAGTGGCATTTTAATCACAACCAATTGGTGAATGGTTTTATTTTTTTATTTTTGGGTTTTATTTGCACATAATTAACCTTTTATTTTCAGGTGGTTGTGTTGGAGATTGAGTAGGTTGCATCCTTATGGAGTTAAAGAAGGTTGTTGGCTTATGTAATACATGAGCTAATTGAATGACAACTGCTATTGGCTTTTGCTAATTTTATTGTGTTTTTTTGTTTTTTCGCCCTTTGGGTAGACAACTGAATTTAATTAAAATGAAACTAAACAATGGATTTTTGTGGCCTTTCGTTTTTGGTAACCAAGTGCTTATCCGTCAAGTTTGTTTGCTTTAATTGCTTTTTCCTCAAGTTTGCTTTAATTTGCTTTCATACGGTGTGAATATATTTATTTTGTTCTCACTTCAATTTGCTTTTAAAAAGTTTCTTAGAATAATTCGTTTGTTTATTGTTGATTGTAAGCTTACTACTATGATTGTAATTCCAATCTATTTCATTTACTTGTAAATATTTTTTTTAACATACCACTTAATTGTAATTTCTCAATTATTTTATGAGAGATTGACCAATAAGTTTTATATTTTAGACTTGTAATTTGCTTACTCTTTTTGGAAGTGTAATGATTCATTTGTTTGTCACATTGGAGTGTCATATATGGGAAAAGTACAATAAAGAGCTTTTAATTTTTTTAGTGTTACATCATATCTGCCATCTTGAAGTGTCACATGTCACATTTGGAAAAAAATATACTAAACATTTATTATTTTTTTGAAGTGTCACATCATATTTGTTACGTTGTCATATTTAGAAAAAAATGTATTAAGGAGTTTTTGTTTTTTTTTAGAGTGTCATATCATACTCGTCACGTCACATTTAGGAAAAATGCACTCGACATGTTACATTTGGAAAAAGTATATTAATGAGTTTTTATTTTTTTTAGAGTGTCACATCATACCCGTTACGTTGTTACATTTGGAAAAATTACACTTGACACGTCACATTTGAAAAAAGTACATTAAGGAGTTTTTAATTTTTTTTAGAGTTTCACATCATACTCGTTACGTTGTCATATTTGGAAAAAAATACACTAAGGAGTTTTTAGTATTTTTGGAGTAAAAGTCTTGGAGTGTTACATAATACCCGTTACGTTGTCATATTTAGAAATAGTACACGAGGGAGTTTTTAATTTTTTTAGGCTCCGTTTGGCAAGAGCTAAACGAGGCTTTTTTTGGCTATTTTAGTCACAAAAGACAAAATAGGCTATTTTAGTCACAAAAAACAAAATATCACATCCAACCCATAATCATTACATTCTTCTCTCACAAAAAAAGTCAAAAAAGCCAAAAAGTCAAAAAGTTCTTCCCAAACCAAACTTTTTAGCCCAGGCTAAAATAGTCAAAAAAGTCAAAAAGTCAACTTACTTCTCAAACGGAGGCTTAGAGTGTCATATTGTTAGAGTGTTACATTAATGCTGCTATATTGGAGTATCACACGTCACATTAATAAAAGGGTATAGTTGTGTACCAAAACACTATCAAAAGAAACTCTCCACTAATAGGATTTAATAGATCAATAGAAAAAATTTGAGACTAATTAAAATACTTATTTGTGAGATAGGATTTATCGATAAATATCTCATATTTTATCCAGGGGTTTTAGGGTAAATTACATAACCTTTCAACTTCTCCGAGTTACACCTTCAGTTTACATTGATAACATTGACAGTGTTTGGAGAAATTATCATTCAGTGTAGATATAGGAAAAAAGTTTACACATTAATGGTAAATTTTATGAACATCAATAATTAAAGTTTCAAACTATTTCATTTATCTGTAAATATTTTTTTGTGAAACATCACTTAATTGATATTTTTTCCGAAGTATTTTATGCATGGTTTTAGGGTAAACTACATTGAAACTGCTTTTGTTTTTTTGAATATCACTCACTCTCTTTAATCTTTGAAATTATGCTCACACCGCTTATTAGCTAATTTTATTATATGTAATGGTTAAATAATTGTAATACTCTTCTAACTAACTATATTTTTGAGAATTATTATTTTGTGATTCAAATTTATTTAAACATAAATCTTATATCGTACAAATTTAATTACAACTATACAATCTCATTTTGGATAAGTTCAGCACAAATTTAATCACAATTACATAACCTCATTTGGGATACATTCACAATTACATAATCAAATTTAAGCAATCATCGCACATCTTGAAGAAGTGTTAGTCACTAATACTATGTTTGGTTGGGGATTCAGAGAGAGATTTGGAAAGAAAAAGAGAAAATATATGTGAAATTATGTGAAATATAGACATATTTTATTCACATTTCACATACCTTTTTCTATTTCCATTTCTATTTCCAAATCCCTCTCAAAAAAAAAAAAAAAAAGAAAAAGGAGGGGGGGTTTGGTGTTTGAAGCTAACTCTTTATACAATGGGTCACTGTTTATATACATTGTTTTTTTATTTTTTATTTTTAAATAATATTCTAACATTTTTAGGTTGAATGTTAAAAATTTTATGGTACATTTTTTATGTGATGTATTAAAGAGAGGTTAGGGACATCTTTATATCAAAATTTTCACACAAAAAAAAATTAAAAAATAAAATAGAATCTTATAATCTCCCTATAAACAAATAAATAACCACCTAGGTTATAAATAAATAAAAATTCCAAAAAGATGATTTTATTACAAATTCAAATTAGTTTGTAATCTATAACCTATGTAAAAAGAATGTAAGACTGGTGCAACATATGGTGTAACGCTCTTGTGCAAGTCTATGGCTTCTTTGGTTTGCAAAGTAGATTTGGGCTAGGGTTTTTTGTTTGTTCAACTGATGCGTCTAATGCTCGCAATACCAGAATCTATACTATATATTAAGTAAAACAGTAATGGTTGAGGGTCACAATTTTTGTGGCTCAAATGGTTCGAAATTGTCAAAACGGCGTCGTTTTGAATACAAAACAACTTTGAAATTGCCAAAACAATGTCGTTTTGGCAATTTTGAGCTATTTGAGCCACAAAAATTATGACCTCAAACATTTTTTAACCCCAAATCTTGTGGAAATTTCAATTTCCCAATCTAAATTTCCTGATTTTTTTATTTAAAAAAAACAAAAAATTTTAGCATTTATTGACTTCTTCCAACCTCCAAATCTTACCCTTATAATAACACTTTAATGCATTAAGAACAAGTATAAAAAAATTTCTTTGAAATCCAACACATATGAATTTCTTGAAAAGTTCCAACACATACGATTATTATCATTCATAATAATACTTTAATGCATTAAGAACAAGCAGTCCAACCCATATGATTATTATCAAAATATTAAATTTTAATATAATATAATAAAAGAAGACATTTAATTCCTTGGAAAGTCTAACACATATGATTATTATCAAAATATTAAACTTTAATATAATATAAAAAAGGAAAAAAAGAAGATTTTTTTTTTTAAAAGAAAAAACATTTAAAAATTGTAATTCACATATATAAAAAATTATAAACACAATTCGTGCATAGTACGGGTGATATGCTAGTTATCCTTATTTCAATGGGTAGAAGTCTACAATTGCCCTTGTTGTTCTTGTTTATTACAACTCATAGCTACGGCGGTGTAGTTGTTTGTTGTTGAATTGGAAAGATGGTGTACGGGGAGCAAATATTCCGGCAAGCTCGTACTCCTTTCTTCCAAGCTCCGTTTATGTCCGATCACCTGCGCGCAAAGAATGGTGAGCTACCCGGCGGTGTGTGGCCGGAAAAACCCTCCGACGATCAAGTTAGCACACACCTTAGGATAGAGAGAGAGAGAGAGAGGGAGGTGTTTTTGTGTAAGAAAATCCTTACAAAGTGTTCATCTGTCGCGTATGGGGGGCGCAGACATGCTTATATACCCTCTGTGCCCCGTATCTACTCCCAGTCGTCTCCTTACACGTGGCTCCGCTATCCCATCTGTCAGCATAAACCTTGCTGAACATCACCTAATCTCACCTGCCTGACTTCACAGCTGGAGCTCGGCAGCCGAGCTGCTCTACCACGGCCATGCTATGCTTCATACCCAAGCACCTCACTGGATAAACACAAGGAGGACCGGGCTAGGCGGCATCTCGGCAGAGTCTAGCCCGGGCACCTCCTTTGGTCGGCCTTCCTACCGATCAAACCGTCTCCTCGGTTGACCACGCCTTTCCGGACACCGGTCACTCTGCCTGTCTGGCTTCAGCTATCCCCTGATCAGGCAGCTCGGTCCAACCGAGCACTACCTTGTCGAGTTTCTTTTCGGTCCGGGGCGGCTCACACTTGGCCCAAGTTCTGCCCGGCCCAAGTTCTGGCAGCCCATCTCTGGGCGGATAGTCGATCATCTCGGCCCCATGCACCGTTGGGCTCTCAACCTGTTCGGCCGTTGCCTCGGCCCAACTCCAGGTCACAAATCACCCTCTCAATTGCCCCTTAATTCCGTCCGCGAAAGCGTGACTGGGATTACTCACTTCGACCGAGGTAACATTTCTCCGATTTTCAAGATGCCAAACCTCGACTGGGCTAGTTAACATAACTGTCTGCAAACTTGCCCGGTTATACTCCTCGGCTGACATCTTTTTCTTCGAAAATAGCTCGGTTGGCTCTTCGACTCTTCAACCCGTCGCTTCAGTCTTGATGTCGCCATAAATGGGGACACGTGGCGGGCTCCCATTGGTCATCGAGAAGCCAACCCGCCCTTTTTGCCAGAATTTGAATTTGGGCGGCCTCTCGCTGGTCTATACATACGGGACCTCCAAACTTCATCTCCTCCTACTGCTATTCCGTCTCACAACTCCAGAGCTCTAGCATCCTTGCCTTGGACTCGTCTTCCATTCTTCGTGTTCGAGGGACTCGACCTTGCCCTTCACTGATGAGTCCTTTTACCTCTATTTTGTTGCTATTTTCTTTCATATTACACACATTAGGGCACAAATACGTAGCTCCTAGGGCATAGGCCATAGAAACCGTCCCAAACCTCCCATTGTTCTTGGTGTTCTTCGTCTTCCTGAAGAACACTGAAGAACTGGAGCGAACCGGGCTCCTGGTCTTCTTTTGATCCAAAAAACCAATCTGACCGAGCAAATAACATGTTTGTCTCAACCCCAGCAAAAACCGAGATAACAAAAGGACTTGGTCGCTCAACCGGGGCTAACATCATGGTCTTGCTGGCGACCGGGCTCCTTTAATTAAGAATAGACAACCGAGGGCGTTTGGCACCTCTAAATGACCGAGCCTAAAGTCCAGATCCT